AACCCTAAACCCTAAACCGTGTTCGGCTTACGCGGCACTGAGGATGATGATGTGCAGTGTTTGAGGTCCGCACGGCTTAGTTGCACAAAGAGTTGCGACGGTTCCAACTACACTTGCTGAGTTTAGGGTTTAGGGTTTAGGGTTTAGGGTTTAGGGTTTAGGGTTTAGGGTTTAGGGTTTAGGATTATTCATGTAGTGCAGTGCTGAGTCAGTCAATGATTGTGGAGAACTTTGCTGTCAGTCAAAGTCACCCCCCGGAAGGTATCCTTCATCCCCCGATCCTCACACATCGCCGAGTTTAGGGTTTAGGGTTTAGGGTTTAGGGTTTAGGGTTTAGGGTTTAGGGTTCTCATTTTTACAATGACCCCGACCACCCGATGTAGGAGGCGCCGGGCTTTTCCGGCCCAATCTGGCTGTGACGTGCATTGCGTGCTCAAGCCCGCCAAAGAGCTTTGGGCTTTCCCCGGCTGGTAGCTAGGACACTTCGAGGTTTGGGTTTAGGGTTTAGGGGTTTAGGGGTTTAGGGGTTTAGGGTTTAGGGTTTAGGTGTTTAGGGCTTAGGGTTTAGGGTTTAGGGTTCTTCGAGGGGTAAGCCTTGAAACCACCAAAGAGGCTCGTGGAAGCCGTGCTTTCGGGATGCTAAGCCAGGGCTCAGCCATGGCTTCTGGAGGAGTACCTCCGAACCTTTCGCAGCAGGCTCGAGCTTCCATATGGGTGGTTGTCAAAATTAGGGTCCCTTTTTGGTTCCTTATTATAATACGGCACCTATTATTTAGGGTACCCCAAAAAAGACGATAATTTTGATAACTACCCATATGTGTAGTTCTCCAATGTTAGGGTCCCTTTCGGAGGTCCCTTTTACAAGGGTGCCGTACTATATTGGGGGCCTAGAAAGGGACCCTAATTTGGAGAGCTACCCATATCGGCAAGACATCGGGTTTTGAAAAGACCTTTCGAAGGGATTTTTGATAAGGGATTGGTTCCGGTTTCTGGCTCCGTCGCTTCATTTTTTTAGCAGTGCTTCATGTGATCAGCTTTCCACTGGCCTTGGAAGCTGCAGAGCTTGTGCCCTATTTTTTTTCAGGACTGCGTTGCAAACCCGAGCCCAGCCGCAGGTCGGCTTCAAAAAACCCCCAAACCCGAAGCCTTAAAGGACATCATAAGTCTAAGGGTTTGGGGGCTGATTTCACACCCTGATCTCAAAAACGAGGGCAAGTGCAACCTTGGGCCTGCCTTGACATAAGCGGCTTGCCAAGAGCATCCCTTCGATATAAGGGCCTTAATGATTAGAATGGGGTTTTGGGGTTTAGGGGGAATCCAAGGGCCTGAATAGTTGGAATAGGGTTTTGGGCTCCTTTATGGTACAATTACAATAAGGAACCCCCCAAAATAGTAGAGGTAATGATTTCGGCCCGGACATTACCAGTGGCTGATCAAGAGGCCTTGCCTGTTCCGGCACTCATGGGCCGTGCGCAGATCGAGGCTCCGTGGGGAAGTGCTTTGGGGAAGTGACGGTTGCAAAACAGCAATACTTGGAGGTTCATGGGTAGTTATAAGTGGAGTTATGGGGTTCCTTTAAGGGTTCCTCCAAGGGGTTCTATAGGGTTTAGGGTTTAGGGTTCATGGGTAGTTATAAGTCGAGTTATAAGTCCCTTAATATGGGTTATAATTATAGTTACCCTACCCATGAACCTCCAAGTAGCCGCCGAAATAGCACAACGCATGAGAGCACGGCAACGAGATGGTTTGCAAGCTGAATGCTGCTGCAGCGGTTATTTCTCTGCAGGTTGCGATCGGGGAGGCTAAACCCCTAAACCCTAAACCCTAAACCCTAAACCCTAGGGCTTCGTTTCCATGTGAATTTTCAAAAAAACCGGGAGGGGGGGGCCCTCCACCTGCAAACTTTGCGAGGTCTCCTTGCCGATCACAAGTCCTGGCGACCAGCCAAGATGTTCCCAGCGGGTCCCTGGAATGGCACTTTAGGGTTTAGGGTTTAGGGGTTTAGGGTTTAGGGTTTAGGGTTTAGGGGTTTAGGGTTCTCCATGAGGTTGAGCGATTGATGTGCAGTAATCTCCGAATCGGGGGAGCTGGAGTCTTGCCAACTTGAACCGCTGCCTTAGGGAGGAGCGACGGAGCTCAGAACTCTCCTGCAGCTGCTGATGGTGATGAAGAAGAAGAAGACGATGATGATGGTGACGATGATGCGGATCATCAGCTGCTGCTGCTGCTGCTGCTTCTGAGGAGCAGGAGGAGGAGGAGGAGGGGACCAGCCGACTGGACATTGCGTCTGGCGCTGGTGGTGCTAGTAATCGTGGTCGTCATCGTCGCTGTCAGATGTCGCGGCATGGTTTTCTGAACATCGACCAGCTAGCAAGAGGATGGCACGGCTTTGGAGCAGTCAATGGGAAGTGTTGTTGGATCCTGTGCTGAGGGGTATGCTAAGCGCGACTTGGGGGTTCCCCCAAAAATAGGGGACCCTAATATAGTACCCCAAATAATAGGATCCCTATTACAAGGACCCCAAAATAAGGTACCCCCTATTTTCGGAAACCCCCACTACCCTAAACCCTAAACCCTAAACCCTAAACCCTAAACCCTAAACCCTCAATGACTCACCACGGGTTTGCTCGAATAGGATGTACGGCTGCAGCAAAACGGAGGCTGTTGTCAAGGCATCCCTGGGGCTGCAGCAGCAAATTCAGTCGGTTGGAGGGGTTTAGGGTTTAGGGTTTAGGGTTTAGGGTTCAGGGTTTAGGGTTTAGGGTTTAGGGTTCAGGGTTTAGGGTTTAGGGTTTAGGGTTTAGGAGGTATCTGCGCAAGCATGAGAAAGGTTTGGCTTTCACGCTCTCCCTTGCTCTGTGCTCGCGATGCTGCTAGAGTTAGAGCTTGCCAACTCTTTTGCGATTGAGAGGTGCAAAAGCCCCGCAACACCCGTGTCTTTTGGCTCCATCCGCTTCCAAGGTACTGCGCAGGCTTTGTATGTGCACGAAAACCGTGGCTTGTACCTCTATCATCGTGGGTGTATCTCACCTCGTCCTGTTTGCAACCTGGCTGCACTCAGTTGAAGTAAGGGCTGTCGAGGAGCCTCGGGTGAGGTTTTCCGGACATGCAATCCCCAAGAGGTAAGAACCCCTAAACCCTAAACCCTAAACCCTAAACCCTAAACCCTACTTGCTGCAACGGACGAAGGTCCTAGAGACAGAAAGGACGGCACCGACCTACGGCATGGCTGGGTGCAGCACGGTGGCCGGGTTCGCAGGCCGTCATTTCTGAGAGGTGGTTTTCCTGTACAATGTATACTTTACTAAAATTTCCTCGTCGATTCTGTACTTTGTGGGTAGTTTTCTGGTATGTTCTTTCTTCTGTTCCATGCAAACCACCAGGTTTTATTTCTGCAACACTGGGAAAGACCTTCTTGGCATTCTTTTGCCGTACGTTGGGCTACACGTCTCGGGCACAGTTTTATGGCGACAGAAATTCACCTAAACCCTAAACCCTAAACCCTAAACCCTAAACCCTAAACCCTAAACCGTCGACCGAAGAAGTGTAAACAAGCCTAAAGCCGGGTTCTGTTGATCCTCCAGCCGCGCTCTTGGCCCAGAGCCAGTATCCCTGTTCTAGGTGTAATCAGAATGATCGCCAGAAACCTGAAGGTATATTAGTCTTGTTCTTACTCTTGTTCCCACTGTTACTGTTACTCTTACTCTTACTCTTTCTCTCACTCTTTCTCTTAGTCTTACTCCTACCCTTCCTCTTTACTTACTATGACTGGGATTATTACTATGACTACTACTACTACTACTACTACTACTACTACTATTACTACTACTACTACTACTACCACGACGAAGACGACGACGACTACTACTGCCACGACGACGACGACGACTACTACTACCACTACTGCTAGTAGTAGTAGTAGTAGTAGTAGTAGTAGTAGTACTACTACTACTACTACTACGACTACTACTACTGCTGGTACTAGTACGAGTACTAGTACTAGTACTTGTTCTTGTACTCGTACTGGTACTATTACAGTTCCTCTGGGCAGCTTCTTGATATCTCCGCCCCTTTATGACGAATCATTCGTGCAGCTCCAGGTTTCCTTGAACAAAGTTTAGGGGGCCTGCGCTGAAAGAAGTTGTGTTTGTGGGTTGAGGTTTTGGTCTAGGTGTAAGGTCAGGACAGATTCGTAGCATCTCTGTTCCAATCTTTTCGAAGACGACTTGACAGCATGACGTCCGCGAAGAATCTGACGGACTGAAAACCCTAAACCCTAAACCCTAAACCCTAAGCCTTAAACCCTAAACCTTAACGGTTAGCAGGTGCCTACCTGTGCCTCCGGGCAAGTTCAGCGCACGCAAGGTGGACAGCAGGCCGGGTTTTGTTTTCGGTGAACGGAGCCCAAGCTTTCGAGTCGGAATCCCAGGCATTCGCCACCCAAATCTTAACCCCCTTAACTAAGAACCCCAAACCCTATAAACCATGTAACTTATCCCCTAAACCCTAAACCCTAAACCCTAAATAAGCCCTACCAACCATGTAACTTATCTAAGTTCTGCAAGCAGCCGCTTTCCTGCTGCCAGGCTTCCTCTTGTGGACCTGGATCCTGGGGCTGGTCCAGACGGATGGAATCCAGAACATCCAATTTCTTGTTGGGCCCGGACGCTAGGTCTTTCGGATTAGGGTTTAGGGTTTAGGGTGTAGGGTTTAGGGTTTAGAGTTTAGGGTTTAGGGTTTAGGGTTTAGGCTTTAGAACATCCAGTTTCTTGTTGGGCCTGGACGCCAGGTTTTTTTCCAGAGATATCACATGTAATGGAAGAGGTGACGCACGGTTTTCGGGTGGAGCAGATACTCAGGATAATCACTTAGGACGGTGTCTTGGAGCTGTTTCAGGACTGCCACCAAAACCCTAAACCCTAAAACCCTAAACCCTAAACCCTAAACCCTAAACCCTAAACCCTAGCTGCCTGAAATCTCCACATGGGTGGCCGGTTTCGGGTTTAGGGCTTCGAGCCTGCCTCGGAGCGATTCCCAAGATGGGATCTGTGCAGCTCTCTGTAGGAAAGCCTTGGAAATCAAGCACGGCCTTTTGATGATTACAAGGAGCTTAACAATAGTTATAGCAATAATCATAACAGTAGTAATAAGAGTACTCCTAGTTTAACTAGGAGTACTCTTATTACTGTTGCAATGATTATTGTCATGATTATTGTTAAGCTCGTTGTAGGGTGTGCTCTGAGGACGAGAAGACCACCGGTTCAGGCCGACCAAGCTGAGCAACGACATCTTGCGGCCGATACAGGAAGTTTGGCTCATTCTGCTTTCCGTTCCCTGGTCTGATGGGAAGGAGTGTAGGGTCCAGAATAAGAACCAGAGTATTATCCATAGTATTAACTATAATAGGAACCATAGTAATAACAATAACAATAACAATAATAATAATAGTAAAAATAATAATAGTAATA